TCCCATCTAGCAACCATCATTTTGTGCTCTGTAGCTATGCGTCTATTTCTGTTTTGTTTGTTCATTTATTCTGTTCTTTAGATTCCACATATAAGTGAGATCATATGGTATTTGTCTTTCTCAGTCTGACTTATTTAACTTAGCATAATATCATCTAGGTCCATTCATGTTATTACAAATGGTAAGATAAAATCTGGAATATTTCACAGCACAGATTAATAACACTACTAAGAGGAGTCTTAAAATTTTACAGCAAAATATAAAATGCAATTGTATTAAAAAAATAAGTTCTCATCAAGAAATATTGCCATCAGGGTATACAATATGCCTTTCTCTGGTTTCTATCCTTGCTCTAAAAATGCAATTTTGATACTTGAACTAGTTGGAAAGTTTTAAAAATACTTACTTTTAAAGACAGTAGTTTCAGAATTATGTCTAAATATAAAAGCCCTCGGGCTGGCCGACTGGTGTGTTGGTTAAGAGCTGGCTTGGGACGCCAGCTCTGAGCAGCAGGGCCCCGGTTCGGATCCCACATGGGGGCCAGTGACACTGCCCTCTACAGCTAAGATGGCGAACAACATCTTGACCTGGAGCTGGGCTGCTTTGAGTCACCGGCGACAGCATAGGCTGCAGCCCCTGCTGCAGTGGGCTGCCATAAGCTACCGTGTGTGGCTGGCAGCCGGTGTGAGGTGCCAAGAGCTGCCGTGAGTGGCCGTCCGGAGGCCGGCGACCGATCTGCCTCACCCAGGAAGAGCGCAATGATAATACCAACATGGGCCAGTGAAGCAATGTCCTCCACAACTAAAACTGAAGAACAAAATGACAGCAACTTGTCTGTTCCCCTCCCCCAATTCCCCAATAAAATCTTTAAAAAAAATAAAAAATAAAAGCCCTCAAATGCACAGAGAAAGCTATTCAGTGAATAAAAGCAATTTTCAGAATGTTCTTGCTATCAGTTTTGCAGTCCAGGTTCTCCCGACACCTAAGTGCCATTTTAATAAGGTAATTTTCAGAACTTCTGTGAAATTTTCTTAAGATTCCATGGACTACACATTTATATGCTCTTTAGCTAAGTAATACAAGAGGCATGGTATTGAGGAAAACTCAATTATCTGTCAGAGAAAAGGTCTGAAAATAACATGATGGTTATAGCTGGGTGATGATATAATGGGTAATTCTTTCCATTTATCTATACTTTTTAGTTTTTCAATAATAAACATGATAGATTTCATAAATACAGATTACTCTTTAATGTAAAAATAATACCTTCTCACTTGGTAATTTCCCTTCTAGGAATTTACCCCCAATTCCTCCTCCCTGAAAAAATTTGAAATGTAGACTCAGACTTATATACACAAAAATTATTCAATGCAAATTATTTACTATAAGTGAACATTAGAAACTATATAATGTCCAGTAATATGAAATTGTTAAGTAAAATAGGATTCATCTACAAGGTAGAAGACTGCAGCTATTAAAAATGTTTTATAAAGTTATATACTATTATAATAGACAAACTGTTCAGGCTATAATGATAAGTGGAAAAAAAGGGTACAATTTATATAAGTGTACCTACCATGAGATCTCATCTATGGAAAATGCATTTAAAAAGATGACTAGAGGGAAATACGCCATAATGTTAAGAATGATTTATTCCCCTTGGCGGAGGAATTGTACATGTACGTTTTTTGTGTACTACTCTTTAGATTTCCTACATTAAGACTGTATTTCTTTAATAGTCAGAAAACAAAAAAGCTTAAAGGTACAGATGACTTTTCTGGAATTTTATTTAATAGACAAAAAATTAGCCATAGAAGGGAAAAGTTCTTTGCTAGTATAGTATCAATAAAACACCACTCAAGGACACATATAGCATAGCAAACTAGCAACCACTGCTGCCTAAAATAGTTTAACAGTCTAAATGCTATTATTCTTTTCCCATGCTAATTTTATAAAATTAGCTACTTTAATTCATAAACCACAACCAATACTACAAAGCTTTTATGAAGTATTTTATTAGGAAGCTGGATTCTACCACCACCTGCTCTCCCTTCTGTATGCAAAATTTACAGAGATCCAACATGAGAATACCACTTCAGATGATGATGTAATTATATTTCTTAAACAATGGTAAGCTATTTGATATATTAGGCAAAAATGAAGATCTCTTTTGTCTACTGATTTTTTTTTTCTTAAAAGGCAAACAGTCTTGGCTCTCCCAAGCTCTGTAAAAAAGAACAAGAGATAGAGACGAACCTATTAAAACCAAAAGGGTCTAACTGTTCATGACATAGATGTTTAAGCTAAGCCCTACAATTTGCTTTGGGTTCAAACTTGGGAAAAAAGACCTATAAGTTTTAAAACACACAAACTTATATTGATGTTAAAGTATACTGAAGAAACTTTTATAAGCAGTAAGTATAATATTTTGCTGATATTTTTCTTTATACATTAATTGTTCTCACTGTAATTACTGTATGTTCAGCAATGAAAACTTAAAATAATGTTAAATAAAATTAAAGTTTCCACTAGCCATCTTATTTACAGTATTTGAAGAAGCTGTTGGATCTGTCAAAGACATAAAAATGTATACAACGAATGCATGAAGATAACAAACACTGCTTTAAAAAACTCTAACAACAGACAGCATACTTTAAAGATAATTGTATCTGTGCTGTAGCTAAACAATTCTAAATGGAAATTACCATAAAAGTTCACAGAGCAACTTGACAAACCTGAGAGCTACAGGAACTTTTCACTAATTACCTGCTATTTCACTCACTCCTTTCTACTGTCGTACCTCCAATCACACTAAATTTTCACAAACACACTCACCCATCTTAAATGCACATTCTTTTTATATGTTAAGAACATCTTCTTTAGAAAAAGCACAAGGGAGATGGGCTCTGTGGACTAGAGATTTAACTTTTAACTTAAATCGTTTTACACACATGTACTACACGCACAATTCTGGATCTGGGTGCTCTTTCATAATCTGACCTGTGCCTTCAATTACAAGTTGATCTCACTCCATCTCACATAACCAAGCGGAGATGCTACTCCACAGTGCCCCCTAGCTCTACAAGAGATATCAGTTTAAAAGAGACACCGTTTAAACTGTCAACCACAAGAGAAAGTATTGTAACAGTCACTATCAGCTCCACTTAAGCAGTTCTTAAATAGATACTGTATTACCTAAACTTGACCTAATAAATAACAGCTGACTTCATTAAATAATGTTACTAATAATTATAAGAACTGCTGAGAAAAAAATATTAGGAACTGAAGGGTTTCTGTAGAAGCTCTCTGTAACGTGCAATTTGTTAGATTTTTAGAGTCATTAAGAAAGGGTGCATATAAAAACACACATTGCAAACGGCTTTTTTTTTCATATAATTAAGAGGAAATGCCATGGCATTTAAGCCGTGGTTTTTAAGAATGGTACCAATTTCTTCATTTAAAAAAATGCTGGGATCAGAGTAAGTAATTTCACTATAGTCACAGTATTTGTCATTACATGCTTAATCTAAATTGGTAACACTGAGAAATTTGTGAGAGGAAAACTTATGACCTTGGTCCTGATGCTAAAAAATAAAAGTCATATTTGGACTGTTTCAGGATCAATAGGGGAGGGCAAAAAGTGAAGATGACACGACATATACCTCTTCTTTTTGGAAATAAGGCTCCTTCACAAAAACAAAGCATAAACAAAGTTATGCAAAACTTCTAAGAAAAACCGCTACAAAAATCACTCAAGTTTTCAAATGCCCTTCACCTTACACTGCCATTCCGAGAAAAAAAATGTCCAATGCTATTCCATATTTAAACTCTAGTGCATTCACAATAGGGGGAACACTGAAAAGAATAAAAACTGCGGGGGGGGGGAAGGAAGAGAAAACAAACTGAAAAAAGGATTAAATTCCAAAACAAGTACCATGAGGCAGAGTAGAGTATGTCAAAAACACAAGGTTTTATTCTAAAGAATGGTTTTGTTTCTACCCTTTTCTAAAGTATTTAATTTGCACGTCTTAAAATAGAGACCCTGAGGAGAGCAGCTTGAGGCAGTGAAGGAAAGGGGGCGGGTTAGGTAAGAACAGAGACTTGGGAGAAAATATGTGCGGTGCACTAGAATGTGCAATGGAGGGGGGGGGGATGATGCTGACTGAATTCACCGTCGGGAAGCAGTTGATGGCTCTATGAGTAGAGAGGTAGAAGCTGCTGCGGCTTAAGGAACCAGTATTCACAGGCAGAAGGTACACCTGGTAAAGAGACAAGCCAGGATAAGAAAGGCCAACCCACCACCAACCATGCAAGTGCAGAGATGACCATTTTAACCAGTTCCATTGTCTGAAGCATTAGAGGGAAATGCCTCAGGCACGAGATCAAGCTAGCTTGGCACCAAATCAGAGACACGGTCAGGCAAAAGCAGGGAGAGAAGGTGGACAGTGGCCGTTCGAGCATTCTCGGCCACGACGGCCTCTTCCTCACCGGGCCGGGGAGGGGCGCCGGGGTCACAGGGAATGCGCGATGCCCCGTCTCGGGAGTTGGAGCGCGGGCGGTCCCCTCCTCGGGGCTGGCGACGTCTCTCACCGCGCAGCCCAGGAGCACCGAGACTTCCCCTCCCACCCCACCCCCAGCCGAAAGCTGGGAAGACGCGGAACTTGGGCTCCGGAGCGGAGGCCACAGACCAGGTCACGGCCAGGGTGGAAGGCTCTGGGCGACATTCTGTGTGGCCACCGGGGGTGGCTAGGGAAAGCAAAGCCCCGGCTGCTGGGGTTTGCACTCGGACGACACTCGGGTCCCGGTGACCGGACCCCGATCCCGGAGGCGCTCACCGATCCCCTGCACCTCCTGGGTCCTCACAGTCCCAGGCCCTCTGGTCTCGGCTATGACCCGGCCTCTCGGGTCTCCCCAAGGCCCCGCTGCAGCCGCCCCTCGCGGTAAACAGCTCCTCTCCCGAACCCTCGTCTCGGACGCTCCCGCCGAGCCCCCAGCCGCACCTCCGTCTTGGTGATCCGGTGCCGCCCCAGCTTCACAACGGCGAAGTTGCCCTTGCCCAGCGTGCCCTCGATGTCGTAGAACCCCACCCGGACCGGCCCGCGCTGCAAGTGCCTCGGGCCATCCGCCATGACCATGCTGGGCCCCGCTGCTAGACACGGCGGACTGGAGCGCGGGCTGGCGGCGCGGCTGAGCTCGGGTGGCGCGGCTGAGCTCCGGCGACCGCCGCTCGGCTCGCTCCTCCGCTCCGTCCCTCCCGCTCCGCAGGGCCCAGCCAGGCGCGCGCGGCTGCTGACGTGCGCCGACGTCAGGGGGCCGGAGCAGGGGGGCGGGGGCGGGACCGGGTCTCGATTGGTCACCATGGCGACCGGAGCGGCGTCAACGTCGGCGGCGGGAGGGAGGAAGGGAGGGAGAGAAGGCGGGCGGGGCTTGGACGGGGCGTTCCTTCCGGGCTCCGGCGCCCTCCGCTCTGCCCTCCGCCTCGCGGCTGCCTGGGGCGGGGTGGTCCCCTGGCCCGCCCAGTTCCTTGTCCTCCCAGCCCAAGGCCAAGAGCGAGCCCTGGTGGGCGGAGCGGAGGGGTGCAGAGACCTGTACCCGGCCTGCGGTCTCCTTTCCCAGCGCTGGCGTTTTCCTACCCCGGCACCTTCCCGCCAAAACCGCTCAGCTATGACTACAGTGCTTCCTAAATTTGGCATGGGCAAAGAACTGTGACTGAGCAATGCATTGCGCACAGGCTCCTTTCTTTGTATCCGTTACTCATCTTGTTTCTGTATAAATCCCTCCACATTTTGCTGTCACTGAGGAGTCATTCTGACAGCAGCAGGTCGCTTCTAGACTCACAGAATGTCAGCGTTGAAGAGACCCTAGAGATCACTTAATGCAGGGATTTGTAGTCTCAAAAGGGCTTCGGATCCTCGAACTGCCTAAAATGTATGCAAAATTTGGCTCGCTCGTCTCTGGGGTGATAGGTCTATAGCTCTTATCAGATTCCCAAACGTGTGAGTGACCCTGAAAAGGTTAAGAAATACGTACTTATTTAATCCATTTTTTTTTCAGATGAGTAATCAAGCCCCAAGGAATGAAGGGAATTGCCAAGGTCACGCAGGTAATGCTAGCGTTAGGATTGCAGATCATACCAGTCTTCCCCATGGTGACTCAAGGAAGCAGGTACAGGGTTATTTTAAAAATTGGAAATATATTACATGCCTCCAGAGCTTGACTTCTAAATGCCATTCTCCACTAAAAGGAATCAGACTCCTTGGAGAAACGGCTGATTCAGGGGCAGAGAGAGGGAAAGTATTAAATGCCCTTGAAAGATCTTGTGTGAGAAAGCAAGATTTTGAAAGAATGATGAGGACACGTCTAAAGGAAATAGAAGCTAGCTTGAGTGTCCTCCACTTACCGAATATGGGATAATTTGAGCACCATGAAAGAATAATGATAAAAATGATTTTTTTAAAGGAATCGATGAGTGTATACTTATTCCTAAAATTTTTAAAAATAAATATAAAGGGGGAAGTAACAATCTTCCTGACAGTGAAATCCTAACTAATAATGCACATAGAAGAAATAATGAAATTAGGAAAATCACCATTTTGCAACCATTACAGAATAATTGATTCAGAGAGGATTATCAATAGATGTTAAAATCATTGGGTGAAAGTTTGCTTGGTGAACAGACTATTTAAATAATCTCAAATATCCCTGAATTTTTTTTACTCATTACAAAGGGATAAACACTATCTTTACAATGGAGAAATATGACAGACATCACCCTAACAAAATGATCAAAGTTAATGCCACCAATTATGGGACAAAATGACATGATGTGCCTCCTAATGTGAGATACTGAGGATATATCTCTAATGTAGTATCCCTTTTAGTAATACATATTCTGAACCTAATCACGAAGAGACAAATCAGAAAAATGCAAATTAAGAAACAGTCTACCCAACCACTGGCCTGTACTCTTAAAAAGTCAGTGTCATGAAAGACAAAGAAAGAGTGAGAAACTATTCTAGATTTAAGGAATTAAAGAGACATACTACTACAGGCAATGTGTGGATCCTGGATTGGGAAAAAAAGGTCTGTAAAGGAATATTTTCAGGAGAATCGTTGAGATTTACATATGGATTATATATTAGATAATAGTATTATTTAAACATTAAGCTTCTTGAAGTTTATAATTGTGCTGTGGTTATAAAAGAGAGTACCCTTATTAAGAGATACATACTGAAGTATTTAGGGATAAAGGTTTTGATATATGCAACTGGCTATCAAATGGTGTAGCAAAGATAGATAAAGCAAATGTGCAAAATGTTAACTTGATAAATCTAGGTAGAGGGTATATAATAGTTTATTGTATTGTTCTTGCAATTTTTATGGCATTTAAATCTTTTAATGAAATAATATATGTGTATACATTTTATTTTATTATTTTAATTTAATTTTGTTTTATTTCATATTCCTTGTGTAAGATCGATGGACTCTTGAGCCCTCCTCTACCTGATCACTGTATATCTGCCCTTCACTCTCCCCAAGCAAAATGGGGGAAGTTGGGAGGAAGCTTTAAGACTGATAAGATTTCTGGATTAATGGGAGTAGTATATGAGGGCTCATCTAACTAGACCAGGAGGAGCCCACATATGTACCCCAGTTAAAAAAAATTGTTCCTCTATACATTTTGCCTGTTAAATTAATGTGTTCTAATTGCTTTGGAGGTTCCTTTGGGACTCTGATGGAAAGATACTTCCTCAAGAACCAGAAAATGACCCAGTAGAGCAAACAACCTCCTCCTTTAAAGTTTGTCTTTTGAACAGAGATAAAGACCCATTTCTGTGTGATTATTTTTATCAGATAAACAGGCCAACTTCGTGTACAATCTTGGAGTAAGATTTGATTTAGGGCTAGAAATAAGGGAATGGCACGGAGGACCAAAATGTTTTCTGCAAACCACAGTTCATTGTGAGAGTCTAGAGGTTAGAAAAAGGGAGGCCAGAGATTGGGGAAAGGTAGGAGGGACTGTGCCATAAACAAACCTTGCCTACTTGGAAATGCAATGGGTGTGACACTGAGCATTATGGTAGGTTGTAAATGTGACTCTGGAGAAATACATGGGGACTGTTAGAATATTGCAACCTTGGAATTCACGATTCAGCTCTATTTCCTCAATCCAAAAGATCTGCTCCCTCTCCAATTTCAACCTATATATTTCTTATGTGCTTTTGCTTCAATTAAATGGTCACTAAATACATTTTAACATTTATTAATATTATCCAACTCCTACTTTCCTCTGCTTTTTTTTTTCTCCCTATTTTTCCTCTTTTTTTTTTCTCTGTTTCTCTCACCAGACATACACAAACTTACACACATACCACCACCACCACCACCACACTCCCCCACCCTCGGGTAAAAGAATAAAAAATAAGAGGGAGAAGGAGAAGAAAAGGGGCTTCATACAATTCCCATCTTTTTCAACTGGGTTTTTTTGTATCACTGAGGTAGAGTGCTATAGTCACCAGATTTCCTATTTGCTTGACCTTTAAAATGCAACATTCCTAGCTAATGCTGTGAGTCTAATGCTATATTTGCCATTGAGTTGATTAAAAAAAAGTTAAGATAACATATCAAAAGGCAAAAGGGTGTACATATGGAAATAATTAAGAAAGATTGTAAGAGACTGAAATAAGAATTCTGTAACATCCTTAACGTAGAATAAAATGGACTTAGAACAAAAAAGTGGAATGAGGAAAGTAGTTAACAAAGGGGTCATGAAAGAATAATGTGAATTGTGAGGAAAGAAAACTTCATGGCTCACGGTGCTAAACATATTTTGCTAAAGCAGACAGCCCATGAACTTGAAAAACAAGGTGTGTGCCATATGTTTCCTTGATCATGAACTATGTCTCCATTTTTACTGTTTTATTATTTCAGGGCTGAATGAAAGTTAATACACCAGTAGGCTTAGGCCTGAATTTAGATTTAGTTCAAATTGAAAACTGACGAACTCTTTATTAGATGACTTTGCTTAGAAAAAATAGATTACAAAGCTAGAATGAATACTTTGCTTTTTTATATTACAAAAGGCAGAAAGCACATGAGAAAATCCAAATCACTGACCCATGCCAATTACGAGTACTTCTTATTGTTATAAAACACATGAATTCCTGAAACATGGATTCATCTGTCAGGTTAACGAACATGTGGGTGACACAGTGTTTAAGGTACTATTATAGCAATAAACTAGAGGTTGAAGTAATTTAAAGAAAATTTTCCTTAGTTCTTTTAAATGCTGGGTAACCATGCCCTGGTTTAAATTTTTCTAAGTTTAGTTTTAGCTGTGATAAATCTTCTCTAAATGAAGAACATGTGATTCTCTCCAAACTTTGAAAATAATTTCAAAATTTTCCTCTCTCTTCCCAGATGACAGATATTCTTAGGATCTTAAATTTCAAAGGGCTCTTAGAGAGTATTATGCGAGTTCATCTTCCCATCTGATACAGAAATCTCTAGACACTTGACAGATGGCATCAAGCCTTGTTTTACTGCTTCATGCTTCATTACATGTCTCGTGATGTATGTGAGACAGTTCATATTAGTAGAAAATGCTTCCTCCTATTGGCTGCATAGCTACTTCTTTCTGACTCCTGTCTATAGTTTTAGTTTTTTCCCCTGGTACAAGACATTACAAATAAGAAGACACACACCTATTTGTCACAGTCTTTTCTCAGTTCTCCAAGCAAAACATTCCCAAATTCTCTGTCAAGCTGACTATGTTTCTAGTAGTCTGCCCCTTCTTTTTGTGCTTCTCTGGTCTCTCATTTGTAAGTATCTCTCTTTAAATGTTGTTCCCCAGACCGAATTCAGCAGCCTAGGTATAGTCTAAACAGTGCAGAATACTGGCCATTGACCAGTCCCTCCTTTAATCCAGACACTCAACTCATACTAATTCAGCCAAAGATTGTGCTAATTTTCTTTTCAGCAGCCATAGCCCATGGTTAAGATCAAGGCCAACTAAAACTCTGGGTCTTTCAAGATAATAATTATTATTACCATTTTCTTGGGCAACTGATTTTTTAAAAATATAAATGGAAATTTTGATAGTTAAAACGTCATCTTGTTAATTTTGCTCATTGTTCCAGATAATAGAATAATTTTGGTTCTTCACTCTGCCATCTATTATATTAACTAATCTTTAGTTCTCTGAGCCATCTGCAAATTCCACCAGCACACCTTCGATATCTTTATTGCAGTCATTATTCTTTGTATCTCCTCTCTGAGTACAAGTGTGTGGCTC